TAAGCCCTTTCTTGGCAAGCCTCCGCCCCGTGGGCGTTACCTTCCGCATCCAGAACGAAGCTGGAGGACACGCCATCCGTGTCGCTCACGGACACAGAGTAAGTCCCCAGATCTTCCTTATCTGGGTTCTTAAAGTACAGCTTCGAGCTGGAAAGCAAGACGGGCAGGTGAACGTCAGCCACCTCTGTGTGCGGGAGTTCCTGGGCGTTCCCCACACGCAACTCGCCAGCCCGACTCACTGGTCCCCGGCGGTTTCCACGCGGAACCTCCCCTCATCCGCAATCTCCTCGTAGGATTTGCACCACGTGAACTGAGAGGCGTCCGTCATCTCCTGGCAGTCGAAGGCCAGGTAGATGTTGCCTTCATCGTCGACGCCGGCGCTGATTTCCTTGGTGCCTGCGCAGCAAGAGCGTGGCGTGAGCGTCGGAGGAACGGGAGTTCTCAGAGCTCTGCTCTTGGAGAGAGGGCGTGCCCGGCGGAGAGCTCGGTTTACGTGGAATCATCGGTCTCGTTTAACGCCCACCCAGGGCTGCCCCGGAGAATCGCGGAAGAGGAAGCAGATGGATGCTAGAGCTGCTTGGTTGTTTTGTTGTTGCTATTTTTTTTTAATTTACCATATTTCTGCCCACTTCCTTTTCTGCATTTGATACCACGGTAGAGAACTTCTGGGGCTGCCTGGCCAGGTCCCTGGGATCCCTGCTCTCCCTGAGATATCCTTCCCTGACCCTGCCGAGCAGGCCCTGACAGCCGCGTGGCAGCCGTGTGGCAGCCGTGTGGCAGGGGTGTAGTAAACACCTGGCCCAACGCGAGTCAGAATCTGTCCCTTAGAAGTTAGGGATTGGGGGAGACAGTCCAGTCTCCACTGGAGAGTGGACCGGAGCCTTGGATAAGGGATTACATTAAGGCAGATTCACGTCTTTCTGGACAGACCGGATCAGTTCCTGCTGACTAATGGAGTGGTTCGGTTCCTGCAAGCAGGCGGCTGCCCCCACCCCCATGTTGGTCCCTTTCGCGGGCGCCCGCCCCTCTGCCGTGCCCTGCCCAGCGCCAGGCCCTCGCTAGAAGCCCAGCAGATGCCCTGCTGCTTGGGCCCACCAGCCTGCAGAACCATGGGCCAAACAAACTTGTCTTTATACACTGTCCAGCCTCAGGTGTTCTGTTGGAGCATCACAAAGAGCCCACGTATCCCACGAGCCTGCCCCCCACCTCCAGAGCACCCCCTCGCAAGGCTGCCCCGAGGGGGTTTATTCACCGGAGCCAAGAAAATCACCAGCCGCTGACCCACGTCCTTTTAAAAATACAACAAGACGTCCATGCGTCCATCCATAAGCACGCACCTATCAACACACATGCAGTACACGCAAACTCCCCCCAAATCATTGCAGCTCCATGACGTTCGCTGCTTTGAGCGGCTGAAAGGTAAAGTCCCACCTGGCCTGGCCTCTACGAGCACCGGCTCCGACATGTCCGACGGCCTCCCCACGCCGCTGGCGTTCACCGCACGGACCCTGAAGACGTAGGTCTTGCCGTTCTTCAGGTCGCAGGCCTGGAAACGAGGAAACGCTGTTCGTGTGGTCACACGGCAGGGACGACTCTGTGATTTTTCATACTGTCTTACGAATGCACCCTCTGTTTTAACATAACTCATGTTTTCAGTTGGAAAAACTAGACAGTAAACCAGAGAAGGAGGGAGAAGGGTTCGCAGCCGTGCACGACCTCGCTTTGCAGGAATTAGCAGATTTCCTACAATTTCGCTATAACCTCCTTTGTTCTTTTTCCTCTGAATTTCTTTCTCTTTCGTTTTTTTCCTTTTTCTGAATGTTTTAAAGCAGAATTAAAATCATATCGACTAGTTTATAATCTCGGGTTCATATTTAACATAATTCTCTAGGACTCAATATTTTAAATGTGATATTAAACTGTGCAAAATGAACATTTGGACACATCAAAATTAGACCAATCACTTCTTATACATACGTAGATTATCCATATTATAATCTGCATTGATAACCATAAATATACACTAACTAAATTTCTAATTGATTTATTTCAACGGATTCTTAGAAGCTGATTCGTTCGCTCAAAAGAAACTGTTTCATATTGTCTGATCGTTTTCCAGAGACGGTTGCCCCCTTTCCGCCTCTCTCCGAGTGGGCCATCTGCCTGGCTCGGACATGGCCTGGCTTTGAGTAAGGATGCAGCTTGCAGCCCTGGCTAACCACACCTCAGGGCGGGAACGAAAAGAGGGAACCTCTGGATTAAGGCAGCCAGTACATTAACCGGGATGTGTGAACCCTGGTCTGGAAACAGCCGTTGCAGCTGACCGGGGCGAAAAACAGGAATATTCAGAGAAAAAGAAGATGGAGCAATTCACACATCATGATTTTGTCAAATGTGTCAAAACCGTGCGCATGTGTGTGTACGCGTGTGTACGTGTGTGTCCGTGTGCATGTGTGTCTGTGTGTACGTGTCCACGTGCATGTGTCTGTGTGTGTACGTATGTGTATCTGTGTGCATGTGTCTGTGTGTACGTGTGTGTGCATGTGTGCATGTGTGCGTATGTGTGTACATGTCAGTGTGTACGTGTGTGTGCATGTGTGTGTCTGCGTGTGTACGTGTGTGTGGTTTATCAAATGGACTTCTAGCAGCAATCGCATAAGTACGTTAAACGTGGGGTCGGACTGGAAGGACGGATGAAATGTCGCATTGACCTCGCTGTGGAAAGCAGGTGCAGACACGATCCGGGAGCAGGGCAGCTAGCGGCCGTCACCGCGACACGGAAGACGCGCAGGCCGTCTGCACAGCACAGCTCTGCGCGGACAGGGGGAAGGCATCGCTGCTCGGGCCCCTCCCCCCGTCTGCTGGGACCTACGAACCCGCGAGGTGAGAGGCGCCCCCGGTGCGGGTCGGGCCAAGTTACCACATTTGGACAGGTTGGCCCCGGGGTCTGTGCCGTTTGCCGTGAAGATCAAAGACACTTGCACACAAAGTCAGCGAGTGCGTCACCTTTAAATAACGGTTCGCGGTTGCCGTCTGGTTCGCGGTGAGCCACTCTCCGGCATCCACTTCCTTAAAATCCACGAAGTATCCGGAAACAGGGCTGCTGCCGGAATACACCGGGGCCTTCCACAGCAGGACCAGGGAGGAGTCCCTGACCTCGCAGAACGTCAGGTCGTAGGCGGGACCTGGGGGTCAGACGCGCCCCGAGCCGCCGCGTGAGCTCGCCGCGCTCGCCTGCCACCCGAACTCAAGCACCGGGGACCACTGTGCCCTTGGCAGGTGCCGCCCCCAGGAGCATCACTGCGCCCTCCTGTCACATTCACCCTCTCTCCACGAGTGCTCACGAGGAGAGCGCCGTGCCCGGCCTGGGGGGCCCAGCTCCATGTTGCCGCGGCCTCCTCCCTCGGGCATCCGGGAGACCGCAGGCATACTCAGGATAGTTGCCAAGGCCATGCTGCTCTCTTGGGACCAGCAGATACCACCACGCGGGACAGGAGGCACTCGGGTCACCACCCACGGGGCTAGAACCCTGTCGGTCACGGTGACCCCTCGGGGAGCCCGGCCACCCGGCCAGCCGGGCCGCTTCGACTCTGCTCTCTGCAAATACCCCAGGCAGCTCTGGAAGTGTGTGGTGCTGGTGGCCTGGGCCCAGGTGACACCGGGCGGGAGAGGGGACAGGTGCCCCTCCCCACCCCCGTCCTAATCATATTGCACTGCAGCCATTTCCTGTCAAACCCTCAAAAACACTCTGGAAACTTCAGTGGCTTTTTCTCCCACTGGTTTTTCTAAGTGGCAAGAATTAATTTCATTAAAACAAGCAAGGAAGGAAGGGAGAGAGGGAGGAAGGGAGGGTAAAAGGGAATATAATCAGGCCACAAAGTTGAAAAACACTCTGAACTTTGAGCTTTTCCAGCTTTGACTTTTAGGTTTTTCTTTTGCAAAGAACGAGCACATTCTCCATTGCACCCTAGTTCCCGACAGGTTGGAGACAAGAGCCAGAAATCGATGCCTGGCACTTGAGAATTTGTGAAAATAGTTAAAAAACGCAAGTCCTAAATAAACGCAGATTTGCAACAATGGTGCGTTTTAGAACTGGAGGCCCCGAGATGCCCCGGTGTTTGCAGCAGGAGGCGACCTGGGCTAACAGTCATGTGAGAACCGACGCCACGCTCCCTCACGCCGGCCCCCCCCCCCACACCTCCCCCCCCACACGCCACACTCCGCTGGGAGAAAAGGCGCGTCACACGGCGCGGGGGGGCGCGGCTCCCCCTCCCCCCCCTCCCACACCTCCCCCCCCCGGGTCCCCCGCCACACCCCACACCACAACACCCGCTGTGGCCCCCCACAGCCCACACAACACACACAGGAGAGGCCCCACACACAACACCCCCGCGCCCCGCACACCCCACACCACAAAAACGACAAAACACAGGTCGCGGGAAAACACACGCACCCCAGAAGACGCCGCAGAACACACGCCACACACACCCCCACAGCCACACAAAACCCCCCCCCGCCACACACCCCCGTGTCGGAGGGAAGCATCTCACCGGGCTCGGGCATGGTCCAGGCCTCACACTTGAAGTGCTCGCTGGGGTCCGACGGCTCCCCAATGCCGGCCAGGTTGGCGGCGGCGATTTTGAATTCATAGAGCGAGCCTTCCGTCAACCCCTCCACCTGTTAGGATTTTGTTTAAATTAATACGTGAAATAAAAGCTGCGTTACAGGGCACTGGGGCAAAGGCATGTTTAAGACCGACTCGTAATATGAAACGTGAGCAGAGGTGGAGGCTTCTCAGCAAAGGACACTAAGGGTTTGGACCAGCCGCGGTCGGGTGCTAAAGCTGTCGGGCTTTCCCTTGTTCATGCCCTGATCTTGCCTCCAGGGAGGGAAACCGAGGCCCACAGAGTCTGCCCTGGCAAAGGACAGAGACCCCAGAGGCAGGCTCAGGCCATGCCCCAGCCCCGAGCGGGCCCCTGGCCCCAGGACGTGGGGCAGGAGCCGGTCCCCGCTCCACACTTGCAGCCGTGAGGTCTGTGGGTCCCGGTGTCTAGGGTCCGGCCACCCCAGAGGCACGGACTAAGCATCGGACCCACTCCGTTACCGGGCTTGCAGCGTCTTCATTGCTTCTTGGGGAAAAGAATGGCTCCTGACATCTTTCTGGTTCCAAACTCTAGGGCCTCACGATGCTATAACTTGTTTCTGTGCCAAATGCTCTACTCTCATCAAACTCCGGAACGCTGAGTGAGGGACACCCCAAGATGCAAAAGTCACCCAGGAGAAAATGAACAAACGCAACCAACCGTGAAGATGGTGTCTTTGAGGGGCGAAGGGTTGACCTCGTGCCAGTTTGCGTGGTGGACTTCGCGCTTGTCTATGTAGTAGCCCAGGATGGCTGCGCCGCCGCTGAACTTGGGCACCTTCCAGCCCAGCGTCATGGAGTGGCCGTCGCAGTTCAGAAGCGTGATCCCGTAAGGGTGGGATGGCACGGCTGCGAGCGAGCACAGCGGGGCGTTACGGGGGCCCCCGCGGGGCGGCCTGAGCATGCGCACACTCCACGCTTTCCTCGCTGCGCTGTAACTGTCGGATTTTACATCTTCCTTTAAAGGGGGTGAGTTAAAAAAAACTCACTCCTACATATTTCGTGCTATCTCTAAATACATCCACCAATCATTCAACAATAGGAGGGAAGCAAATTATTTAAATCTGGTCCGAACATTCGACAGAACAGACCCCTCCCTGCTCCCTGAAGGAGGACTATGAGGACTTCTCCTCCACAGCCAACAACACTTGTGCCTCCACGGCTGGACACGACAGATGTGACTTACTCTGGTAACTTTTAGTGTCCTGCACAATTATGGAAACTTCAGATGAGTATGAATTCACGTCTCCCTGTTTTAGCACCAAATTTGGAAATGGACCGTCTTTTCCTAACAGGTGGAGAAAGGAGGTGTCTGCTCCTCCCCAGCTCTGAGCAACCTCGATGTGGTTGCCCCTGATTACCCGAGATACAGGTGGCTGGGATAAGCGATTTGTATTGTAGACTAAAAAGGCAGACGATTGCTTTCATTTAGTAGGCATGACTTAAAAACGCAAATGGGAATGTTTGAAAACCTCCCCTGGAAAAAAACTGAGAGGAGATTTTGGAACAATAATCTTATAGCAAAAGAGATTTTGCTTTCGTAACTACCTAGGAATGATCCGATTTGACATTCCTTGGAAATCCCAATAACAGTGTCACTAGAGGAAAAATTTTAATTTCTTAAAATGTTCGTGAATTTAGTTGGCGATGAAAAATAATTAAAGAGCAAAACATTTTTTCTCAGAAGTGGGAAGATTCGAGATGTGACATTTGTGTTTCAAAATGTTGCTGAATGTGTTTACGCCTTAAACAGGAAATGACTAGAGAAACAATTGCAAAACCCAGAGCATTGCAGAGCAACTGTGCTCTGAACCGTCACCGAGATTTAGGACCTGCATTGTCTCATTTGATCAATAAAAATTTAAACATCACTATTTATGAACAAAGCCACAAAGTTACATAAACACATGAAATTCTCTGAAATGATTAAAGTTCCTTGAACTAAAAATAGCTAAAAGGCCACTGATGTTGTTCTATTTTAGCATGTATTTTGAAAAGACAAATCCCTACCCTATAGCATGTATTTTAATGCGAGTACAGGCATTTGGAAGTAAATGTGCCCTATAATAATGCTTTCTATTTTTTTTTTTTTTTTTGAGACAGAGTCTTACTGTGTTGCCCGGGCTAGAGTGCCATGGCGTCAGCCTAGCTCACAGCAACCTCAAACTCCTGGGCTCAAGCAATCCTACTGCCTCAGCCTCCTGAGTAGCTGGGACTACAGACATACGCCACCATGCCCGGCTAATTTTTTCTATATATTTTTAGTTGTCCGATTAATTTCTTTCTATTTTTAGTAGAGACGGGGTCTCGCTCTTGCTCAGGCTGGTCTCGAACTCCTGAGCTCAAACAATCCGCCCACCTCGGCCTCCCAGAGTGCTAGGATTACAGGCGTGAGCCACCACGCCCGGCCAATGCTTTCTACTTTTAATTTGCATTTTATCAGCGTGTTCTCGTTTCTCCCTCTCATACCGGCATTTCCAAGACAAGTAGCCAATTAACGAGAGGTTTAATCGCGTGCTCTCTGTTCAGTAATCTGCGTCACTGTTTCCCTGTGCTGATATGCAAACGGCATCATAAATGTTCATTCACGCAGACGTTACAGTGTGCGGGGGAAGGGAAACCGGTGCAGATTCGCCGCGAGTGACTTACTGAGCGCAGCCTGGACCCGGATGGCGTCGGACTCCTGGGAGTTCTCGCTGGTGCCCACGGCGTTGACGGCCTTCACACGGAAGATGTACTGCTCGCCGGTGGTCAAGCCGTGCGCCACGAACCTGAGAGAAGCTCCAATCAGGCTCTGAACTACAGGGCTGCAGAAATCATCCTGAACACGCCGTAACAGTTTTGCACTTGGACTACCACGAAGTGCACTTATTGAGTGCCTCGTGTATACATAACATAGACCCTTCGTTTTCAGTGTGAGTTAATTTGTTCAACATGTAAGGTAAAGAGGTAACGTCAGACCTCCCCATCCTACCAGGGGCTGACGACACTTAGCGTCTAAGGCATTTATCCTGTGACTCTGCCTTCATTTCTGCATTTCCTGGGTCTTGCCTGGATCAAAGGGCTATTATGTAACAGTATCCAATTCCTTATCTAAAAGAACTGGGGTATGTAAAAATTAAAGAAAAGTAATCACGCTGTAGTGGTTAAAGGCTAAGACTTTGAAGTCGGCTAGACTAGGCAGGAATCCTGGCTTTGGCACTTAACAGATTTTACGTCCTTAATAAGTTCCTTGATTAAGGGACTTAAGCCCTGTAAGACTTTGTTCTCCCGTCGCTAAAGCATGGATAATATTAATATCACCCCCTCACGGCGCTGCTGCAAGCCTGAGACAGGAAACTCTATGTAAAAATCTTAGCATCGTTGCCTTGTGCATGGTGGGGACTCAGCAAATGTAAGCGATAATTATTTATCCTATATAACCAGCAAACATTTATGAACCATTTACAAAATCCTTCTACTGGAATAATATCTGAAGGTTCTTATTCTGATCAATCTTTCCGTGTTTGCGGTGGGGTGTGAGGAACATCTATTTCTCCCCTCAACGACATCTCTTCTTTCCTAGCCACAGCTTTTCACTACGTATTTTTTTTAAGATTTTAAAAGGAAAAACGAATGCACCATAGCTGATAACCCATCCACAGGGTGACCCTGACAGCCGCCAACATTTTCCTAAGAAGCGTATAGAGTGCAAAGCCCGATAATCTCATACGATCTCTGCGTGCTCGGTCAGCAGCGGGAGCAAATCAATCCCAAAATAGAGACGCCACTTCCCGCTGCAAAGGCGGCCAGCCTCTGCCCCGCGCTGCCCCGCCACGAGAGGGGCGTGGTCTCCGGTGGGGCCACAGCCAGGGGCTGGGAATGGGGTTCAAACAGAGCAAGTTTAAAAGTTTGAAAAATCGATACAGAAAAATAAAATGACTTTCCCGTCATAGTTGCTGTTTTTAACGCTCCTATTCAAAGAAAAGTCCTAACTGCTAATTATATCAGGGAAGAAAACCCGGGTTCTGGAAGTTCCTCTTTGACCCATAAGTAAATCATGTCAGCCAAGAAGAGCTAAGGGCGTAACCAGCACAGCCAAGTGTTCAGAACTTTAACTCTGTACGTGGGAACTGACTCATCACACGGAAACTCGGTGACGCGCTGTTCTGGGAGCTGCGTGGTTCCCGTCTGGTTTTGCTTCTCCTACTGTATTTCAGCGCCACGATGTCGCAGCCGCGGGAGGGGACGTCGGGCACCTGTTGTATTTGATGGGCTTGTGGTTGCAGGGCTCCCAGAGGTTGGTCCCGGCCACGCAGAAGTCCACGTAGTAGCCCAGCAGGTCCTCCGCGTGCTTGGGCTTGTCCCACTGCACCACAACCGACGTCCTGGTGTTGCGGGAAGCGAGGACGCGGCCGGGGGCCGAGGGAACGGCTGTGCGGAGGAGAGAGAACAGTTGGAGAAACGGGACAAGAGTTCTGTGAGCTGCTCCGGAGACTTGGAGCCCTGCCCCCGCTGGGAACGGACGGCAAACCGGGTCGGGCTTTGGCGGAAACGTGGATGAGGGATCGAGTGGCAGGGAGATGAGCCTCCCGCCTCTTCCCGAGCTCCCCGACTCCTCAAGGAAAAGAAGGAAGTCACGAAATCTCCTGCCCCTTCCCCAGAGCTGCTACCAAAGACCTTCTGGTGGCAAAAATGATTAGCCTACCTGGGTGATGACTATTTTTGGGGACGTAAGAAAATGAGGCATATTTTTATCCGATCCATCAGATACAAATCGGATCTGTAAGAGGACTCAAAATTAAATCAGGATTTGAACATCTGATCTTCTTGCCTCATGCCAGGCCCCCCACGGGTGGCAGACGGGGGTCCCGGCAGCCCTCAGGGACACGGCGTCCTCAGAGCCAGCCGCCTGGCCACACACCCCAGTGTTTGCCAACTAGTGTCGCTTTCTGTGGGCGCCACTGAGTGAGAAGAGGCTGGGCCCCGCTGAGAGACCCTGGTCTCGCCCAGGTGTGGCCCGATTAAACCAGAACGAGGCAGACACCCGAGGACAGGCTGGAGGTAGCGGCCTGAGTACCTCGTCTGTTTTGATGTCCAGCTTTTTTATTAATATAAAGCATTCAGGGGAGAGGAGAGAGGTTCCCGTTACTCAGAATCGGAACTCCAGACGACTAAAACGTTTCGATCACGAAGGCTCCCAGGGATTTCAAGAAAGCCTCCTGTTAGTCGCTACAACGCCTAAATTGGATCACAAATCAGAAGTTCTACAGTTTGTATTTTATGTCTTTCAAGAGGGATCTTCCAGCCAGATGGGCAAGAAACTAGTGCGTCTAGGACTGTAAGGTTTTAGAGCAACCATTGCCGAAGCACATTTTAACTCACTTATCTGCAGGTTTCTTGAAAGATGATGGAGCTTTGTTGGGAACCAACCAAAACAGGGCAGAGAGCCTTTATCTCTCGTAACGTGAATTTTAACTCATACCTAACATTAATGTCTTTTTTTTTTTTTTTTTTTT